GTCCCCATTGTTCGTCGGCACCCGTCGAGCGCTGCATCAGACGGATCTTTGTCGCCAAAAGTGGGACTTCTATCGGGACCATAGCAATGTAATAGTGTTTCTTGGACGCATTCTCTCGCGTGCTGAGAGGCGATTGAATAGGTCTACGAGTACATGAATGCGCCTTGAAGAAGGCTCTTGAAGAAGGTGTCACCGAAGCGACCTAGATGTGGCCGTCAAGAATTGCATAGTATTTGTTTCGAAGTTGAGCTTCTCAGGCTACTACTTGGCGCTGTGAAGTAGCGCGCTTTGACCAATCGTTTGAGATGGCACCGCCTTCTTGCACCCCGTCTCGGGTCGGGGGCTGCGGACGACGACCTGCATGCGACGCCGGCAATCCGCTCCTCATTTGGTGTGCTTCGGTAGCTTGGCATCCCCTGGCGCCTTCGGATGGCCCGTCACTTTGGCACATGTGAAGCAGTAGTACAAGTTGTGTCCGATCTCAATCATGCCCGCGTCTTTGAGGTCGTCAGTCGGAGTAAGCTCGGTCTCCCTGCCACAGCGCATGCAACAGAGCTGTCTAATCATTGATCTAAACATGTCGAAAATTGGTGGATGGAAATCTGTTGCGTATTGGATCTTCCAGCGGCGGATGCCAGGATGAACAACGCGGGGTCTACCTACGGGCTTACATATTCTACAGACACGCAGGTTTCGCGGTTCAGGCGCGGCCATCGTCGCTAGCCAGTCCTGGCTGCGATCGCTCACGCCCACGTTTTCCAAGTGAATGTTCCTCGCGGGCGGAGAGACCGGCGATACGCATCATCTTGCTCGGCAACGCCCATGGCCACTTCCGTCCGCTACATCGGGCTCCCTCTAAGCTCCCTCTAGACTCCCTCTACCGCATTCGTGGACATGTGCATGCAATCATTGTTGTTGAACATGGCAGTGTGTATGGGGAGCATTCTGAGAAGCTCCTGGGTTATTTTTGACGTGGGGGATGTACCCGGATGGTTCACAAACGCCCCTGACAGGGTCGGGCATAGCCCCACTACGAGCCAGAATCGGGCTCAGAGCATGACCGTCCATCATTTGAAAGTGGTCGGGAATCGAAGTTGGCAGAGCGGGCGGGCATGCCCGTCGGAGAAACTACGGTATCTTGCCTAACAGTCCGTCGGCGAGAAATCGGCTCAACGGCCATGACCAACTGTCCCAAGCCCTTGGGTCCGCGTTGGTCCCTTGGATCCAGTTGTGGATTTCTGGGTGCACCACAGAACCGTGCAATGCGAGCACAATGCAGCTGCGACCGCATTCAGATTTTAGTATCGAATTTGCTTCGCAGCTCTTCTGGATCCGCCCACCCGCCGAAGCGAGCTCGTACCGACCGCCACGTTTGTAATCCCTGATTGCACCAAATTTGCCGCTTAAAGACATTTCCAGAGGCGTTGCGGAGTCATTTCCGTGTCCTTCAACCCACCAAACGTGGTGTAAACGGCCGGTTCCCACCAGCACCACGAGTGAAGAAGGGATGAACTAGCGTGCCGCGCTGTATGGCCTTTGCTAACATTGCATCACCACCAGCCTCTTTCAACGCCCCGATGGCCGGCTGTACCAATTTGGCTAGTGTCTGATACGTGGTGAATCTGGATTTTACTGTGACTGCGCGATGTCTCGATGCACGCTTGATGCAACACTCACAAGTCACTACCTGACTGACGACACGTGTCTTCAGTCGTCCACAGCAGAGACTCCTTACTGTTGTTGGCGCTACAGGACTGCACATATGCGAAAGTAGTCTCAAACGCGCTTTTGACCCATCACACGAGAACCTGTAGCAATGGCCATCACGATGAGACGGTATCGTTGTGGATGGGAACTGAACATGGGAGCTTCGAAGGCACAATCGTGTGTTGAAGACAGCGAACGTCGTCCTATTTCTAACTACAAGAGAAATCCACAAGCTGCCAGAGCCTGACTAACTGACTACCCAACATCCAGCGGGCGACATCTGCCGTCCCAGGCACTCGCGCGCTGTCACACTCTGTCACACGCAGTCAC